CGAAAGTACCATTGTTTATTTAGTTTTGAAGTTCCAGCTAGATCATCCCATGTGGAAGATTAGTGTCTCTGCCAAGTAATGCCATAGCTGCGTAAAGCAGTCATTGCAGTTGAAATCCACGGCCTAACCTTCAGTGAAACTTGTGTTTATTTGAGCAAAGTCAGCTGGTCAGCAAAGAACAGAAAATAAATTAGTCATAAAATGAAAGAATTATAGGTGTAAGTAATAGAAATTAGGATACTTTCCCTGAAGTGGAAATATTTTAAGAATGCCTCTTCTTAACAATATATGTGTGTATGTGTCGGTCTGTCTATATATTTTTTTAAAGGAAGAAGAGTGTTTTTCTAGACCACTTGTGGGATAAAAGTATTAGAAATACAAACAGCCGATTCCTTTCTAATCCATTTAATTATTGACTTGCTGTTGAGGTCTTTTGAGTCCCCTTTGTCTGGGGCTCATATGTCTTCAGCTTTTCTCCCTTCGAAGTACGTGTTCATTAGTGTAATCACTTTTACTGGGGCTTCTCTTTATTTTCATTTTCCCTGAACTTTGAGCTAAATTCCTGCCTTAAATTACAAAAACAAACAGAGAAAACCCTAAAAAAATAAACAAACAAAAAAACCACTTAAAAAACAGTCAAATTTTATGAAAATATTTAATTTTAAAGGTGAGACATTGGCAGGCCATCAAGATCTGAAGTCCTGATGCTAGTAAAAGAAAATGTTATTTCCTCATTCCCCATAGATAGATAGATAGCTGCCTTTGAGTCAACTCCAACTCATGGCAACCTTATGTATAACAGGACAAAACATTGCCCAGTCCTGCGTCATCCTCACAATCACCAGCATGTTCAAATCCATCATTACACAACTGTTGTGCCAGCGCATCTCACCAAGGGTCTCTCTTACCCTCATTGGCACTCTGTTTCACCAAACACAGTGTCCTCGTCTAGCAATTGATTCCCCTAGATAATGTGTCCAAAGCAAGTGAATCTGACAGTGTTCTGTTGTGATCCATAAAGTTTTCACTGGCTAAGTTTAGGATATAGATCACCAGACCTTTCTTTCTAGTCTAGTCTGGAAGCTCTACTGAAACCTGTCTACCATGGATGACCCTGCTGGTATTTTAAATACCAGCTTAGCTGGAAGGCATAGCTTCCAGTATCACAGCAACACACAAGCCGCCGCAATACCACAAACTGACAGATGATGGCCATCACTCGTAGACCAGCCCAATTTCCTTTCGGTCTTATTTGTGCCTTTCAGTATCTTGCTGCCTAAATTTTGCCAAATTCACTTATTTTGACTGTCATCAATCTGAGACTGAAAAGGTAGATGAGAAATCTTATTCAGATAGTGTGGAAAAGGAGTTCTTGTTTTATTTTATCTTGAAACTGGTTGTATTTTTCTAGGTTTTAATAAAAATGTTGGGGAAAAATAGGAAGGTGGGGTATAACACCAACAAGATGAGTGGCAAGTTCTTGAATTTTAGTTATTGGGCTAGTGTAGGCACAGACTTGGACAGACTACATACAGCATGATAGATGTGAAGGGCCTTGACAGTTGGGGGCCACCCCACAAAGCCTAGTTGATGTGATCGTCCTTTCTGGTGGGAAAACAGTTAAAGGCGGGGAGAATAAATACATCTTCCAGCTTTGTATTTCATTTCATTTAGAGGTCAGGGACGAATTTTTGATAGAGAAACTCAGTAGAGGGGAGCTGTATTGTGATTTTATAGCTCTGGCCAGCCATTTTTCTCACCCTTTAGAGAAAACAAATTTAAGGTGGGGAGACAGAACAGTCTCTGAGCCAGTTTGTCTCCAGCCTACACTTCCAGCCATCAGAGACCAATTATTTCTTTATTGCCATATGAACTATTAGTTTTACAGCATTTAAAGTAGAGTTCTAATTTGTGAAACATCACATTTTGCAACCTAACTACAAATGTTGTTTGTTTCTTCCCTCGATTCCCTTTACCATTTGGCCATAATTACCTTTACTTTTTTGTGTCTCGTTATCCTTCCCCAGACAGCTTTGCCCCTTCGATATTTGTTTTGCACTACTAGGAGCCCATTTTGTATGGGCCACAGCACTAGTCTTTCAGAAATCGCTCTGGTTGTTCATTTCTGGTTAGTTGAGGTTGGAAGGATCTATGTCAATCTGTCTACCCCCCTCCATACACCAAAAAGGAAACGCGTTTACTGTAACAGCAAATACAGGCGTTTATATTCTTTTGAATCCACTCTCTGCCTCCTTAGGCCTGCCAGGGTCTGTGGGTAACTACGCTATGCAAGTGTCACTGTTGAGGAATGGTTTGATGAGCATCATAAGGCTCACTTAGCAATGTTCTCTCCCTACAGGCACACACACGTGCATACACACGTGCACACACACACACCAGATTTGTCTGTTTTCGCATAGCCTTCTTGAAGGTGTGGTTGTGCCTTTGGGGGCACCTGGGAGCTACTGCTCTGTAGCTCTGGCATTCCCCATCCAGAACCGTTTTGGGTTCAGCCACATGGGTTCTAGAATAGCAGTATTTCTGCTAAAATTTTTGTTTATGGTTCTTTATAGGAAAGATGTTTTGCTTTTGAATTCTGGTGGTATTTCCTTCCATAAACCTAAGTGGTTTAACCAAAGAGGTGAAATTAGGGTTGAGTCTACAGGTCCTGCATGTAGTTGGTATCACAATCTGTAAATCTCTTGGGGGCGGCAGTAATATTTTACATCATTGTACCACATGTCTAGCACCTAGTAAATATTCTTAATTTTTATTGAAAGAATAACAAGAAATATAGAAAATGTGCAAAACAGGAATAAAGAAATAGCAAGTAAGATTTAAGGGTAGCGTATGGAATGCCTGGGTGGTGTGAATGGTTAATGCACCCCACTGCTAACCAGAAGGTTGGAGGTGCCAGTCCACCCAGAGGCACCTCAGAAGAGAGGCCTGGTGATCTACTTCTGAAAAATCAGCCATTGAAAACCCTAGATAGCACAGTTCTACTCTGACACACATGGGGCCTTCAGGAATCTGCATTGCCACCACAGCCACTCGTATGTAGTGTTGTAAAGTCTTTTAAATCACATTCAGAGATCAGTGGGTTTTCAAACTGTTGCATAAATAGATACGAAATTTGGAGGAAATCACATAGAAAATGCTTTTAGGTGGTCAGTCAGGCAGCTAAGTGGCATGGGTATTCTTCACTAATCTATAGTCCTTTAGACTGTAATCAAGTTTTGATTTATATGTTCATGCTTATATCTTAATAAATCATTAGATGTTTAAAATTAATTTTAACAGGAATAACAAAAAAAATGATTAATGATGATGTTATAGAAATAATGCCAGCTATAACTCATAATCTTGTCACCCAAACGTGGTGGTGCAAACTGTTTAATTTTTCCATAGGTACTTTTATGTGTGTGATTACATAGTTGTAACCACAGTGTATCCATTATTTTTCTTTTGCTGTTTTCACCTGACATGATAATTATCCATGGAATCTTTAAATTTAATTCTGCACACATTTTATGGAGTTATGAGACTTGGGAGTTTAGCATCTGTATAGAAATTGTGCCAACACAGTTTATAGGCCAAGGACAAATAAGACTGACTTTCTTAGGATGGTACGTTAAATATCACTTTGATTGCTTTTTTCCCCAGCAGTGTACTTTCGAGAAGCTAGTTTTATTTTGTGGCTAAACAGAAAGAAGATATTCTGCTGCTGGTGGAAGCTTTTTGGGAAAATTGTTTTTTGTGTATTTCTGTTTTTTGAACATACAATGATTGAAAGATAGAAAAAAGTAAATATGCAGGTTAGAAGTTTTTTTCTTATTTTTCTTTTTAGGTTGTTGTTCAGGGCTCTTTTATGGAGAGTGAAACGTGTCACTAAGTGATATGTTTATGAAGTGGCTCTGTCAGTAGAACTTGAAGTTCTTTTCTAGTTTAAAGATAACCTAAGTTATTTGTTTGAAAATGGAACTGTGTTTCAATTATGTCTTTGAACCTTCTCCAACTTTTTTCCCTGTGGGACCTTGAGTAAGACTTCTAATCATAACTGTGAAAAGTAGGAATAAAAATATTTCATGCTGATGACGTTGGTGAGTAGTCCATGATTTACAGGGCTACTATGAGGATGGGGGGAGACATTTAAATATTGCTTTAGACTCTTTGGAACAACTATTTCAGTATGGAATAAATTGTCAGAAGTCCCCATTCTCAGGACAAGTGTAGATAGAAAAGAAGATAGGGACCCAGAATCTGACCGTTTAATAAGCGCTTGTTGACCACACGTGGCTGCCAAGCATACTCAGTGTTCTTAGGCTCAGATACACTCCACTAGTCAGCCTTGTGGAACAGAGAGTCCCAACCCAGGACTGTGTGGACTGACTCACCTGACCTGTTTCCTATAGTGCCTGGCCCTACATCTAGTTGGTTGTGTCATTTTCATTGAGCAGCCTCCAGCGTATCCCCCTGAATGCTATGAGTAAAAGACTCCTGTTAGTCCGCATGCCCCAAATCAATTCTGAATTAAAAAAACAGATTTGTATGCTAGCTGTGTGTACGTGACCAGGGGTGGGGGTGGGGGGTGGGCGAAGAAGAAGATCTTTCTTTTGTTAGTTCCGAAGGGATGGGTTATTTCTGTTAAAAATGGGATCTGAATAGAAGAGAAAGATTGGTGTCAGAAGGATGACATAGCACAAAGTATTGTTGATCTAGTCCAGCAAATTTAGGCATGATACTGACAGAACAGCTGAGCCCAAGCTCCTTGGAACTGGCCCAGTTGGAGGATATCTTGTTTGTTATAGTCATTAAAAGGATAACTAAAAAATTAGGGGTTGGCTGTAAAATTGCTGTTTTTATTTTTTGGCATGTGGGAATTTAATGAACTTTTTAAGTAAATAGTGGGAATTAGCCACACACTTTTAGCTAGTTAGGCACCCCTGAATGGATGAGAATCATCACTTTGTTAATTTCATCAACATGTTCATTTCTTTCAGCTCCATGTTCATGCATGTCTTTTAACCCGGAAACCAGAAGACTGTCCATAGGTCTAGACAATGGTACAATCTCAGTAAGTACACATAAATAAGATTTCTAGTTGAAATACTTCCCTTCCTGTGAAGTATGTATATGCATTGTAATGAGAATTTAGTTGTTTCAAACAAACAGATTAACATTCTTGGTAAATAAAGTGGAAACAGCAGTGCAGCAAATTATGGTGAGATGAGGGATTCTGGGTAGGGAGAGCTGTCACCAGTCTTGGCCTAAATGCTGACAAAGTTCAGCTTGACTCACCATGTACACAGTGGCTAGGATAGGGGCATGATTAGGCAATCGAGTGAACTGTGTGAATCTGTGTGTTGATGAGAGCAAGCTGTGATACTAGTGGCTTGATCAGATGGTTAATTATGGTGTCATCAGCTTCCCCACATCGAACATGGGGCAAATGTCTTCCCTTAGGTCTGCATGTCTGATCTTCTCTGATACTCTTATGTTCTCCTGGTGTTCTGCTCCTCTTCACCTTCTCAACTCCTTCTAGCATGTGAATAGAATCCTGTAAATTTGTATGAATTTATAAAGCACAGAATCTAGATTTAATCTGTAGGGTATATCCAGATAAATATTAGAACCTTTGATTTTAGATCCTGAGAAAATTGAAGTGATTAGAGATTGGAATTTTAGGTTTTAATTTAAACTATTACATTAACTACTAATAAGACTGATCTGGCAAATTCTGTATTTGGTAAATTATCTAATACTGACTTTAGTCCTGGGCAAGAGGGGCCCTGCTTTGGGACATATGATTTAGAGGGTTCTACTATGGCCACAGAGCCCTGGTGGCACTGTGGTTAAGAGCTCAACTACTAACCAAAAGGTCAGCAGTTTGAATCCACTAGCTGATGCTTGGAAACCCTATGGTGCAGTTCTGCTCTGTCCGATAGGGTTGCTATGAGTTGGAATCAACTCAACGGCAATGGGTTTGGTTTTTTTTTTCCTTTTCTTTTTTGGACTATGGCCACAGGAGCCCTGGTGGCACCGTGGTTAAGCACTCAGCTGCTAATTGGAAGGTTGGAGGTTTGAACCCACCAGCCACTCCTAGGAAGAAAGATGTGGCAGTCTGCTTCTGTAAAAGTTACAGCCTTGAAACCCTATGGGGTAGCTCTGCTTTGTCCTATAGGGCCACTTGAGTCTAAATCAATGGCAGTGGGTTTTCTTTTTTTTTTTGGTTACTATGGCCAAGCTTCTCCATAAGGCGAAGGATCTGAGGTGCCAAGGGGGTGTGCCTAGCCCAGTCATTCACTCCCCACCCTCCATGCCCTGGGTACTGGGACTCTGGAATTCCCTGCCCCAAAACAGGTCAGAGCCTGCTTCCAGGGTCTTTTACCTGGGTCTGTCCTTAGCAACATGGAACACGCCACCAATATCTTAGGCCTGAAGGATGGCTAAGGGACAGTGGTTTGAGGAAGGTGGATAGAACTGGGGAATGGGAAGAGAAGGGCTGGGCTGGTCCTCACGTCATCACACTGTGACATGCAACTTTAAGGAATCTAAGAATTCCAAATTTGAGCTGACTTTCCAGTCTTGTCAAGATTAGAGAAGAGACCATATTTTGTTTAATAGTTTGTTAACTTGATTTATAACTTTTAAATATCTAGATATGTGGAATGTGGGCCTCCATTTGTACTCTTGCCCTGGCCCCTACAAATGTTAGAGGTGGGCCTGAAATTTTCTATTTGATTCTTTAGTCAAAACATCTATTTGGTAACCTTTAAGGAAATTATGACAATATTCTTATTTTTTTAATTAACAAATATTTATATAATTCCTGTAATATCCAGAGCATTTGATAGGTCTGTAAATTCTTCCTTAGGAAGACAGAAGAGAAATTTATGATATAGATCTTTGTCTACTTTGAGGCAAGCCATTTAAAAATGAAGGGAAGGTGGGATAAATTTATTTTTAAAAGAAAAAGGAAAGTAATTGGATTATTGAATGAATTGAAGTGCTCATTTCAAAGTAAACCTGAAAAGATGGCTTGAAATCCATATATTGCTTAAAAAGGTCATGGCATAGTGTGCATGACACTCTCCATGAAAGGACTTACGTGGCTATAACATATGGGTGGGCCTTGGCACTTTGACATCAATGAAGGTGGTAAATGGGTCGCTGATATATTTGGCTTTGGAGGCAAGAAAGATGAGCAAAGTAAGTTATGGAGCAGTCTAGCTATTGTGTGTGAGAGGAGAAACTACCCTAGCCATTAACCTTTAGTAAATGAGACTTCCAGAGAATGGGAACATAAATCAGGGATGGGCTCACGTGCTTCTCCAGGTGTTAGTACGTTGTTGAGACACCAAACCTGCCCTACCCTGATCTACTGAGAAAGACTGAGTACCCTGACTTGTATGATAGTTTCCTTAGAAGTGCCTCCTTTAAAGCTGGTGATAGGGAACCCAAGGTTGAGTAAGGATATTGTTGATGTGTTGTGAGATTGTTAACCATTGTCATAGGACAACATTTATAGTAACTGTTAAATGAGAAAATATTTTGTTCTGTAAGCCTTCATCTTAAGTGAGAATAACAGCACAATTGGAAGAGCAT